GCCCTGTGTGATTTTCCAAAATCATATCTCTGACAGTTCTGCCTATTAAATGACAACCCCACAGGAAGACAGCACTCAGTCTGGGCCACTAAAGATCAAGGCCATAAGACAAGGCTTTGGTATTCTTATTTCTATCCCACAACTAGTGAAGGAGGGCAGCAGGTCTGTGCCCAAAAGGCAAATAAAGAAACAAAACAAACAAAGCTACTTAATACAGAGGAGAATGGTTCAAGCTATTAAAGCTGCCTGATGTACCAAATTAATCAAACAAAAAGCACAGCCTGAGCCCTGGGAGAGCCTGGCTCGGCAACTCACTACAGCCAGCCAGACATTTTCACAGAGTACAGCAATTTCTTACAAGAGTTATAGCTGGTGAGTAGTGAGGGGACAAAGACTGAAAAGCCTGGCCTGAGGCCCAGAGTTTAAAAAGTACAAGATGAGCCTGAAACATCTGGTCGTGCCAGAAAACAAGAAACTATCAAAGGCTTTGGGGGTCATATCAACAAGACTTGAGGAGCCATCACGCAGAGGCTCCTGGGCAAAGACGAGTGAATTTAAGCCTCAATAACAATTACTATAATGAATTAAAACACACCAAATGATTTTAAACCCATGAGTTATGAAACATTAAAAAATCAAGTTATCTTCAGAAGATATAAAGGATCTACACGTTATTTTGAAAACTGGAAAATAAAGGAAAAGAAAGAATTTATCCTATCTCTTCTAAAAGAACCTGTACTCAGGATTACCAAATAGTTGATCAGGAATAACTATTTACACAAGTATTCCAACTAATAAATGAAGAAGAAACGACAGAATATTACCATTTTGCAACACTTAACAAATTAATGGATCTAAGCGAAGACCATTGAAGGCTGCCATATTATAGACCTCTAATGAAAGACTATGTTACCTGTGAGATATTCTTACCAGAAATAAAAACCAAAACAAAACAAAACCTGAACCTGAGTAAGCCTCTAGATCAAACTACCACATTAAATGACCCCACAGAAATGAAATCATCAAAATCAAACTGTGGAAAACTAGAAAACAAATGGTCCAGCTTCGTTACAAATAAATACAAAACAAAGAAGAAAAAGAAGAGAGAAAAAAGAATGAAGGAGAAGGAATGAGAACCAGATGAAGAAGAATATGAGGAAGAATAGGAAGAAAAGAAGGAGGAGGAAAAGAAAAAAAGGAATGAGAGAACAGATAACCGCAAATAAGAGACCTAAATGACATATCAACCTATTGCAATGTGTAAAACACACATACATTTTACATATGTATGTTTGTCTATGTCTGTATATATGTATGTATGTATGTATACATATATATATACCAAAAAATTGAATACAGACTAGTAATAAAGGATTTAAGAATTAGCATTGATTTTTTTTAAGTATGGCAATGATATTCAAGTTATGTTTACAAAGAAAGTCCATAGCTTATAAAAACACAATACTCATGGATGACACTTGGAATTTGCTTCAAAATTATTTGGGAGAAAGCTGATGGAGGACACATGAAATCAAATTGTCTATGAGTTAATAGTTGTGAAACTGTGTGATAGGTACATAGGAATTTATTATACGATTCTCTTTACATATGTAAATGTTGAAATTTTCCATTTCAAAAATATTTTTAAGTGATTTTCTCCAAGACTCCACATATTGCCACCAAGACTTCATTTCATATGGTAAACCAATATAATTTATGTTGAAATAATTTTCATTCAGCATATTTACAGAGTTGGGAAAAAAAACCTTATAATAAAGGCAACCATAACATTTATCACCAAAAATGGGACACCCAGAGTGGGAAAAAAGGGCATTATCAATAACTAACCAGGACAACAAGCATACAGAAGGATATGGTTAATTACCCTCCACATGTTATCCAGCTCAGTTTCTGACATAGTTGAATTCACAATTATCCCCTAAAACATACCGTATCTCTAATAAAGAAGTTATACAGCCAGGCATGGTGGTTCACATCTGTAATTCCAACATTCTGAGAAGCCGAGGCCAAGGATCACGAGGTCAGGAGATCGAGACCATCCTGGCTAACATGGTGAAACCCCGTCTCTACTGAAAATACAAAAAATTAGCCAGAGGTGGTGGCATGGTGCCTGTAGTCCCAGCTATTCGGGAGGCTGAGGCAGGAGAATTGCTTGAACCTGGGATGGGGAGGTTGCAGTGAGCTGAGATCAGGCCACTGCACTTCAGCTTGAGCAGCAGAGCAAGACTCTGTCTCCAAAAAAAAGTTATACTATGTCTATTTCCATTTCTCCTGTAATAAAAACCTCATTATTTCCCAACACAGTTCCTTATATTAGAGGACAACACCAATTATTAAAAACTCTCTGGGGAATCAAAATCTGTTTCCTAATAACTTCTACTTGGTAGCATTGGTTTTATGTTCTAGAAGAACAAAATTTCATGAGTAGAAAGAACCCAGAACTAAGAACAGAGAACTAGATCCGCTAAGAACTAATAAAATCATCTTGGACAATTTATAAAATCTATCTGAGCCTCCATTTCCAGACCTTTCTATCTTTAAAAACTAGCACTCTTAGCCTCTTCAAGCAGTATGTAATGTGTCATGATTTCTGTCAAATACCCGCTCCTTAATGGTGTTCCTACGGTGTGCTGCCCAAAAGTCAATGCAACACTCAAGTAAGGTCTACCATATCACAGGCACAGCACAACAACCTCATTCCACAATGTAGACCCAAAGTTTTGTTAATTCAGCACAAGACTGTGTTAGCTTTTTAGTAACTGCATCATATTATTGGTTCACACTACATATTGCAGATAATTTTTTCATGTAACTGCTTTCCTCTACTTATAAAATTGAAACCTAAATAATGGATGTCTTCATCTGTTTTGTGTTACTATAACAGAATACCTGTGACTGGGCAATTTATATAAAGAAAAAGGTTTATTTAGCACACAGTTCCATAGGCTGGGAAGTTCAACTTTAAGTGGTCAGATGTGGCAGCGTCTAGTGAGGGCCTCATGCTGCATCAAAACATGGCAGAGAAATCAAAGGGAAACCAGGCACATGAGAAGGAAAAGGGCAACACAGGAGAGGCAGCTTCATTTTATAACAACCCACTTTCTTGTAAACTAATCCATTCTCATGAAAACTAATCACCTATCGAGAGAAATATACTAATCCATCCATCTTCATGACCTAATCACCTCTTAAAGGTGCTACCTCTCAACAGCACCATGCTGGGGACAAAGTCTCAACATGGCAAACAATATTCAAACCCTAGCAATGGATTTTAGTCTTATTACATCCTGCTGCTTCCAATCCAACATACTAACCTACTGGGATAGATTGAAATTTTGTCACATGTCACAGTAGCTGTCTCTTTCAACTTCTGTCCTCCACAAGTTGAACCAATATGTTATATCGCTCAGAAAAATGCTGAACAAAATAGAGTCAAAAATACAACCCTAGAGTATTTCATCTGAGATTTTCCAATGATTGTTCCATTTACTGCAAATTTACTTAACTACTTTTTGGTATAATAACATATGAAACATCCAGAAAGACATCAGAGGAAAACTGTTACATTTTCTGCTGAAATGATTTGCTATGTCAGCTAATCTACCATTAAAAAAGCATAAGACAATTTGATATAACTTGCTTCTATGTAAACCCACATTGTCTACCAAAGATATAATATGTTTTAAATGCTCTCAAACAATTTAATAATTAACTATTGAATCCTATCCAATATCAATTTAAAATTTAAAGAGAAACTTTAAGAATATAGCCTTCCTTCTTCTTTTTCTTGTTTTGAGTGGTGTCCTCCTCTCAAAAAGATTGCAGTGGTGCAATCTCAGATCACAGCAACCTCCACCTCCCAGGTTCAAACAATCCTCCTGCCTCAGCCTCTGGAGTAGCTGGGATTACAGGCGTGCACCACCATGCCCAGGTAATTTTCGTATTTTTAGTATACATGGGGTTTCACCATGTTGCCCAGGTTAGTCTTGAACTCCTGACCTCAGGTGATCCATTCACCTCAGCCTCCCAAAGTGCTGGATTACAGGCATGAGCTACCTTTCCTGGCCTGTCCTTCTTTTTTTTAAATATGGGGACTATAATTTGCTTCATCTATAGTCTGCTGCTATTATCCACAATGTCTTCACCCAAATGATTACTGTGGTAATTCTAGTAATTCCACTTGTCAAAAAGATCACCACTATAAAAGGAATTTTGTTTTGGCTAATTAGTTCAAACAAGAATTCTGCTGAGAGCACCCTTCAGTACCATAAAACTGTCATACAGATAAGAAAATAAAGTTGTTTTGTTCCCAGGACAAAAATATTTTTTGAATGACCATTGTAATGTTGTCCCATGGATAACATTCTTTTTAATGATAGTAGCTATATATGCACTTACCAAGAACACTACTAAGGAAATTACTACAGTAGGTAATAGATTAGATGACATCAGATGGTCTTAACACTAAAAGCATATGCAGTTCTTTCAGTTCAGTTAATTATTAGGATGAGATAAATTTTGACAAACCAATGTTTCTTAAGAGGTATGGTAGCAAAACAGTAACTTGAAGAGCTAATATTCTATTTTAATTAAATGTGCTTTTGACCATATCAAATTTCTTTCAGATCCCTTCTGTTTCATAAAATAAAACTGGGTATTTATTTAAATCATAAGCTAAAGTTAAAACCTTTTGATAATTCACTTCTAAATACATTTTAAGTACATTTGAAATGAAAACCCAATTTTTTCACTCACAAATGCTCAAAAGAGTTTAGCTATACATATCTGGTCCACCTTATTATCTTGACCTTTAAATTTTCTTCCCTCATATTTCCCACAGTAAAGAAAACCACCAGGCACAGTGGCTCACACCTGTGATCCCAGCACTTTGAAAGACCAGGAGGATCCCTTGAAGCTAGGAGTTAAAGACCATCCTAGGAAACAAAGCAATGCCCTGTCTCCACAAAAAGATAAAACATGTGCTTGCTTTGGCGGTACATATACTAAAATTGGAAGGATATAGAGAAGATTAGCATGGCCCCAACACAAAGATGACACGCAAATTCATGAAGCATTCCATATTTTTCAGAAATCACAAGCATTCCTATACACCAATAACAGACTTAAAGAGAGCCAAATCAAGAGGGAACTACCATTCACAATTACTACAAAGAGAATAAAATACCTAGGAATACAACTAACAAAGGATGTAAAGGACCTCTTCAAGGAGGACCACAAACCACTGCTCAACAAAATAAGAGAGGACACAAACAGATGGAAAAACATTCCATGCTCATGGTTAGGAAGAATCAATATTGTGAAAATGGCCATACTGCCCAAAGTAATTTACAAATTCAACGCTATCCCCATTAAGCTACCTATGACCCTCTTCACAGAACTGGAAAAAAACACCTTAAACTTCATATGGAACCAAAAGAGAGTCTGCAGAGCCAAGACAATCCTAAGCAAAAGGAACAAAGCTGGAGGTATCATGCTACCTGACTCCAAACTATACTACAAGGCTACAGTAGTCAAAACAGCATGGTACTGGTACCAAAATAGAGATATAGATCAGTGGAACAGAACAGAGGCCTTGGAGGCAACACCACACATCTACAACTATCTGATCTTTGACAAACCTGACAATAACAAGCAATGGGGAAAGGAGTCCCTGTTTAATAAATGGTGTTGGGAAAACTGAATAGCAATATGCAGAAAGCAGAAACTGGACCCCTTCCTGACACCTTACACTAAAATTAACTACAGATGGATTAAAGACTTAAACATAAGACCTAACACCATAAAAACCCTAGAAGAAAATCCCAGGCAAAACCAGTCAGGACATAGGAATAGGTGAGGACTTCATGACTAAAATACCAAAAGCATTGGCAACAAAAGCCAAAATAGACAAATGGGACCTAATTAAACTCCACAGCTTCTGCACAGCAAAAGAAACAATCATTAGAGTAAACCAGCAACCAACAGAATGGGAAAAAACTTTTGCAATCTACCCATCAGACAAATGGCTGATATCCAAATCTACAAAGAACTAAAACAGATTTACAAGAAAAAAACAAACCCATTCAAAAGTGGGCGAAGGACATGAACAGACACTTTTCAAAAGAAGACATATATGAGGCCAACAAACATATGAAAAAATGCTCATCAACACTGGTCATTAGAGAAATACAAATCAAAACCACACTGAGATACCAACTCACACCAGTTAGAATGGCAATCATTAAAAAATCTTGAGACAACAGATGCTGGAGAGGATGTGGAGAAACAGGAACACTTTTACACTGTTGGTAGGTGCGCAAATTAGTTCAACCATTTTGGAAGACAGTGTAGCAATTCCTCAGGGACCTAGACATAGATATTTCATTTGACCCAGCATTCCCATTACTGGGTATATACCCAAAAGATTATAAATCATTCTATTATAAAGACACATACACACATGTTCATTGTAACACTGTGTACAATAGCAAAGACCTGGAGCCAACCCAAATGCCCACTGATGACAGACTGGACAAGGAAAATGTGGCACATATACACCATGAAATACTATGCAGCCATAAAAAATGATGAGTTCGTGTCCTTTGTAGGGACATAGATGAACCTGGAAACCATCATTCTCAGCAAACTGACACAAGAACAGAAAATCAAACACCGCATGTTCTCACTCGTAGACAGGTATTGAACAATGAGAACACATGGACACAGGGAAGGGAGCATCACACACTGGGGTCTATTGGGGGGACTAGGGGAGGGACAGTGGGGGGTAGGGAGGTTGGGGAGGGATAACATGGGGAAAAATGCCAGATATAGATGATGGGGGGATGGTGGCAGCAAACCACATTGCCATGTATATACTTATACAACAATCCTGCATGTTCTACACATGTACCCCAGAACCTAAAGTGCAATAAATATATTTATGTGTCTGTGTGTGTATATATACATATATGTATATATATGTATATGTATGAGGAGGGATAACATATATGTATATGTATGGAGAGGGATACATATACAGACACACATATGTATATGTATATGTATATGTACACACACAGCTAAAACATTAGCCAGATGCGGTGGCATGCATCTGTAATCCCAGAAACATGAGAGGCTGAGGCAGGAGGAATGCTTTAGCCCAGGAGTTTGAGGCTGCAGCAAGCTATGATTCAGTGCATTCTAGCCTGCGTGACAGAGTGAATCTTATCTCTTAAAAAGAAACAAACAAACAAACAAAAATTTCCAAATTATTTTAGAAAGTAGTTCAAAACTGTTGTTTAACATATGAATCAAAAAGATAGAATTAAAGGGCGGTGGGGAACAGGCATGGTGGTGTACACCTGTAATCTTACCAGTTTGAAGGAGAATACCAGGCTGAAGCAGAATAATCACTTGAGCCCAGGAGTTTGAGACCAGCCTAGACAATATAGTGAGACCCAATCTCTACCAAAAAAAAAAAAAAAAAAAAAACCTAAATAGCCAGATGCAATGGTGCATGCCCATAGTCTAGCATATTCAGGAGGCTGAGATGGGAGGATCACTAGAGCCTGGGAGATCAAGGCTACAGTGAACTATGATTGCACCACTGCACTCCAGCCTGGGCAACAGAGTGATACCCTACTTACCTCTCAAAATATATATATATAATTAAGGCAATTAGAGATGTATCAGGCCAGGTAATAGAAGTGAATCACAAATCCATGTTACTGGGTCAGAGCATAGAAGATATAATCACATGCTAACTACAGATGCTCCTCAACTTACAATGGGGTTACCTCCCAGTAAGCCCATCATAAGCTGAAAATATTGTTAAGTAAAAATGCATTTAATAACCTACTGAACATCATAGCTTAACCTAGCCTACCTTATGTGTGCTCAGAACACTTACACTAGCTTATAGCAAGGCAAAATCATCTAATACAAAGCCTATTTTATAATAAAGTGCTGACTATCTCATGTAATTGATTGACTACTACACTGGAAGTAGAAAGCAGAATGGTTGCATGGGTACTCAAAGCATAGTTTCTACTGAATGTGTATCACTTTCACACCATCGTAAAGGTAAAAAACCCTAAACTGAACCATTATAAGTTTGGGAACTGAACCATCTGTTGTCTTAAAAACACCTACAGCAAAATAAAGCATTTAAGACTATTCTCTACATCTCAAAGCTGTAACTGACCCTTTATCTCTCATAAGCCTGATTAACTTCTCATCCTATTTTCACCAATTTCTGCAGGCGATTTCCATCCTCAGTAACAAAACAAAAACAACCAACCACAAGTTGTTACTCCTCAAGTGTCTAAGAGATTCCCACACAATAATGGAAGTTTTTCAGTTAACATCCCAGTGCCAACTGACCACCACCTTCCCCAGCTGATACATGGCAGAAGGCATTAGCATCCGATGGTGTGTTTACTTCCTGTTCAGCAAAGTCATTGCTCATCCTTATTTCTCATCATAAGCAGATGATTTGCTCTTATCTACTAATACGGAGAAGTTGATTATTATTGTCTGATAATAAAGATTATATTTCTTTCCTAACATGTTAAGTGGAAAAAGCACTGGGCTTGGACTCAGAAGTTCCATATTTGAGTTCCAAGTCCCTGACATCCCAGTTATTTGACCTCAGGCTAGTCACTTAGGCTCTGTGGTCCTGCCTTACACGTAAGGCAAGACAGCCAGCTCTCAGAAAGTTGTTGGAAGATTAAAATGAGATCATTTCAAGTAAAACTACTTTGGAAAATACAGAATGCTATATGACTGTAAATATTTCTTTCTAATTCCTAGCTGAGTTATACAAAGTAAAAATTTAAGGCTGATGTGGCATAGCTCAACACAGACAAGCAACACTTGCCAAAAAATCAGGAGAAATAACCACAGAATGCTAGCTGGGGAGAAAAAAAAACACACCAGTCTTTCTTTGAATTCTGAGTTCATTGTTTAACAATGAGTCTTTTGCTGCTACACACACAGGCACAAACCAGAGCACCAGCAGCAGAATCAAACTCACACACAAAGGGCAACCTTGGACTGTGCCTTGCTATAGCTCCCACAAAAGAGTGCTCAGAAGGCTGTGCAAAACTCCACTCGCCTTCACAAACTTTGTGAAAATCAAGCATTAGCCTGTGGAATTCAGGAAAACAACTGAATAATACTCTTTACTGTCAAATAACTCTGAAATGCCTAGTAACTGGATAAGAAAGATGTAAAAAAAAATGGTATGAAGGATCCTTTGAGTTCACACATGACAGATCTAAACAATAAGTCTAACAATGAACAAAAGCAAGTCCAGTAATCCGCAGAAGATAAAGTGGGAAAAAAATCTATTGAATGAAAAATTAAGATGCTAAAAAATTAGGATGAAGCAATCAGAATTCTTCAGAAGTAGATATAAAAAAGTACTTTTCGGAAGCAGTGAATGAAAAGACTAAAAAATAAAAATAAAACTATAACCAGCGTAAAAACAGTTAAAGACACACAAGCTCTAGCCAACATTCACTGAAAGTATCAAAAAATCAAAATCAAGCAAAAGAAAACTAGCAACTTTTAAAAAGCAATAACATCACAATGGCAATTTTTCTAATAGTTTAAATGTAAGTTGGTAATAACAAAGGACAAAGTTGTGCCTCTTCCAGGAAAATTATGCAAGTCAGACAGAGGAAATCAAGCAGCATCTGTGAGACCGAGTTATCTACATGTACTGCAGTTTTCAGGGAAGGAGGAGAGAAAGAAGAAAACACAAGTCACAACATCTCAGAAGTGCCAAGGTCACTCTAACACAGTAGAAAAGAAAATAGAACATTGAGAAATACTGAAATAGAAGCATGTGACAGAGATCAAAAGTGAAATGTAGACTGCTCTGATAACCTAGGGGCAAATTCTATCTTCTGACTAGACTATATAAAGATTGGATATATCACAGTTATCCTCTCATGAAAATACCATTCTTTTATCCAGTAATAGTATTTTAATGAGACTCTACAGCATCTCTTTCTAAAACATTAATTAAAAGATTCCAATAATTAATTAGGTATCTAACTTCACTAAATGGAAAACTGTCTA